ATTCACTGGTTAGAAGGTGTGGTTTTGTACTCACTTTTGGATGTTTGCCTTTCAGTCAAAGCACTTAATTTAGTTATCACAAAAGATTTAATGGGACACACACACACCCACTACATAGTTAAGTATCAGCCATAAACAACAAAACAAAAATGGAGGGTGGAGGATCGTTTGAAGTGTTCTTTAGAATTTGTAAAGTGACAGTCTATTAATAATTAATAGTAACTGCTTAGCTTCCTCAATCAACAAGTAATTTATGAAGTTGTCAATTCAAAGAAATTCAACGCACATGTAAATTAAAAGTCTTTTAGTAAGGCTTGAGGGACGGGCAGTATATGTGCTTCAACTTTGTCGAATCTTCGTCAGTGTTTGTCTTGTTACATACATGATCATGTGCCTTAATGAGCAAATGCCATTTCATTAAATAAAACAGCTTGTCTCAACTCAAAGCTTAAATGGGTCAAATTGACCCACAACACAATAGTAAGATTAGTAAAAGAGCTTTCCGCAGATAACCATAATAGCTATTGTTGTAGATGATCAGGAGATCGGTCACACTTCTGATTACGTTGTTGACCCACAAATGTGTTCTTCTCAGCAGTTGTTGTGCAGTGTGTTCAGGAAATTTTGTCTATGTATGCATTATGGTCAATACCGTCACTTAATAGCTTCGAATGTGGTTTTGCTGATGGATAGATTTTAATGCATGTCATTTGTTTCGGTTTTACGGTTAAGTTTAGAACTTGGACTATTTGTTAGGTAAGAGTTAAGGATAGGAATGTAGCGGAGAGGATTAAGGTTAGGTTGAGGAATGAAAGAATGAATGCAGTCAGTGAAAGTCCTCACACGCGTCGTAAAGTGGCTTTCACAAGAACTGCAGCCCTGCACTCTAAAACCCATTATTTCTAATGGCCTATGCTGCTCATAGACCAATATCCCCTGTTCAAAGAGAAGAGAGGATCCAGTGCTGCATCCATCTCAGTGCCCAAAGTTAATCCTACTTCATTCTGCTGTTGCACAAAACCATTCCATGTCAGGAAAAAGTGACAAAGGACTAAGCAAAATAAACTGAAGGCAGCATTATTAGGACCAAAAGGGAATTTATATCTGTGGATGTATAGGGAAGTCAGTTAAAAAGCTTTTTTCTTGTATGTTTTACCAGTTGTGCTTAAAAAAAATTAAATGAAGATAAGCCATCTATGACCTATGGATGTCATGCTATCAGTGTTGCACTGAATGCTATTGTTGATAAGTAGTGAGCGCGGTTAATGACACAAACATATCAGTCGCTATTGTTGTATGAAAGCATTGCAAGTCAAACTTTTCTTTAAAGATGTTCTTATAGAAAATGAAGTAAGTCGTGCTCCTATGTGGGTTTCGAAAATTCTCGGATGTCTGGTCTGCTATGAAATAATAATAAAAAACTGGTTGTTAAAGTAAGAAAAACTGCATCGTCAAGTAAAA